CAAGGCGGGAAAAGTCGGATGATGGTGATGTGTAATAAGCACTGTGGGGGAATTCCAAGGCCTGTGCATGAGAGAGGCAGTGCTGTCTAGGTTTGCAATACACCCTCAGTTGCTAGTCAGCTCGGAGGGCGTTCTGGTCTTTCACGTGAATAGCCGTTGAAAGGATGAAAAGGCTGGAGGCGAGGATCCGAAAGAAGGCTGGGAGAACAGAGTGGAGTCAATCTAGAAGCGTGTTCATGTACGATGACGGTCTGTGGGTAAGGCCTCAGAGGAGTCCGTGTTCAACAACCAAATCTCAATGGGTTAAGCTTGATGTAACGATGCCTGCTGGAAGTCATACACCGCGAGACATATCCAGACAACCTGGATACAATGCCCGATTGCAAACTGCGCCATTGCAGTCTAGAGCACCTCGAATGATCATGTCTACCACGACTCATGATCGCAGACATTGACTCATCGACCAGCATGTCTTCAGAAGGGTGTCTCCCTGATATGTCTGTACGTACGTTTCTCCAAAGAGAAGACCCGAACGTAAACGAGCGGTGAAGATAACCACGTACCATCTTTTCAGACGAGGTTGGAAATTGGGCGTGTGTATGTCTTGGCACCGTCTTGCTCCGCGTCAAAGCGGTGTTCTCCGACCAACCACCGGCTTGCGATGTGCTGCTGGCTTCTTATCCTGGATCCCTTTGCCTCTGTGTTGTTCAAAGAGACACCAAGGCATATCCCTGACCAATTGCCAGCTTGACATTGTACGCGTGGAGCAGTCGCGCAAGCTTTCTATGCGACGCGTCGAGTCTAGGGGTTTCCTAAACTCGCCATGTACCCGGTTGATAGCTTGCCGACTATTCCTAGCTTGCCTAATTTCATGATCACCTGGACCACATGATCAGACAGTGTACGTTGTGTCTGGCAATCGACCAGCGAGTATGGGAGGCCGGTGTTGGAGGGGATGGACGCGGTGCGAGGTCAAAGGTCGGGCCAGACTGGTATATTTGAGTGAAGATGTGTCGAGCTGCTCAGACAGAACTGATAGGGTTGCATCGACAATGGCAACATTAGGCAGTACGGTGGCTTGAGCGATGTTGTAGACCGCGTTCGCGTAGGAGACAGGGGGCGCGTTCGATGTTCCAATGTCATTGATGACTAAGTGGCCTGCGGCTCTATCTCGGCCCGGAAATAACTTCATCTCCGGCGTCCAGATCGTCTTCTATGAAGCCATCTAGACAACACTTTGAGGGAAACACCTCAAGATCAGCAGTGAACAGCATGAGAAATGGATGCAGATTAATCACAAGTTCAAATATACATAGCTCAAAGCCGCCAATGCTTCGGCTGGTCTGCCTCAGAGCTCGTCGTGGCCCTCCGCATTCATCTCACACAACCGCCCATCCTTAGTCTCCACCGACGCCTCACTCCCAACGCATCTGCGGCACCAAAGTACGTTCTTTGGATCGGCCCTCCTCTTGACTCCCCTCAACATCCAATACCTTTCGCCCCAGAACGCTTCTTGCCATTCCGGCTCATAGCTATCCCCTTCGTTGAAGTATGCGCCAGTGTCGGGGCTGAGTTGCCGCAGTGCCTCGGTTTTTCTGCGTGTGATATCTGAATACACATCATCGATGGTGGCTTGGGATGCAATGTCACCGAACGGCGATGCGACGATAAGGTGCGTGAGAGTGTTCCGCCATGCAGGGTTAAGACTGCTTTGAAGAGGGTAGTAAGCTGGTTCGTTCGGTGCACCAATCATGTGGCCGATGAGGAGTGGGTTAGTTACTGGTCCCTATGGGTATGTTAGCCAAGATCACAGATGTCAACCAGAGCTGAGGTCCTTTACATTTGGCTCAAAGGCATCATCGGTTGGGCCGATCTTCGAAAATACGATCGCCGTCAGGTGTGGGTTCGCCAGACTCTCAGCACTGAGCAATCTCGACCCATATGCCGAGCCACCATTTGCGACTTGCTCGTTCGTGAAATTAGCTTTGTGCATCTCCAGGTACGTATCCGTGTGCGATAATATCGACTGCCATTCAAAAGCCTGCCTCCGCTCCTGCAGATATGCTTCAATAGGTTCCATGAGTAGCTCAACCGCTCCGCCTGGAGCGTTGTAAAGTAAGAATGTCCAGGAGAACGATAGAGTGGGAACAATAGGCGGTCCCACAACCAGGTAATACCCTTGCATGCCGCCTTCTTTCAGCCGCTGCATCTCGGCGTGCAGGTATCCCAAGAACTTATAGAAATCCGCGCTTCTGCCTAGGTCTTTTAAGCGGACTTGAAAGGTATGTGCAGTAATTCTTGGGGTTGGAAAAGTGCGAACGACGACTTCAGTGATGATGCCGAATGTGCCGCCACCTCCGCCTCGTATAGCAAAGAACAAGTCTTGGTTCTGACATGGGTTTGCGAGGACGACTTCACCATTCGGTGTGACAATGGTGGCCTCAAGCAAGTTGTCGGCCCCCATCCCGTAGCTTGTCGAAAGCGGTCCATGACCACCGCCTGTGAGCCACCCAATGAGCCCGACGCTGGGGTTGGCACCTGTTACAATCGCCATTCCATGCTGAGCTACTTCTTCTTGTACTTCAATGTTCGTGTGGCCAGCTGATACACGCACAGCGGTCAATGAAATCTCGGAAGGGCAAGACGCTGGACTGAACGATGCAACGTAATTGATGCCGCGCATATGGTGCGTCCATATACTCAGGCTGCCATAACCAGTGCTGCGACCTTGGTATGAATGTCCAGTCGCCTTAACGACAACGCGAATATTCCTTGCACTTGCCCAAACCAAAGCTGTGCTGACTTGAGAAGCAGTGGTAGCATTCACTACGTAGGCGGGGTAATTGCCGATATTACATCCCTGCACTTCAGCATGTGGGTTACCGGTGATGCTGGTTCCGTTTGGAAAAATTGGATTGCAAGAGTCGTTTGCCCATATAGGGTAGTCGATACTGACGGGATGCGCAGCGTGATATGACGAGTTAAACCACTGCGACGTCACGTAGTCACAAGCTTCTCGATCGAACTCCGGCCTTGACGGGTAACAGACTGCTCCTGGTGGAACGCTGCGGATAAGTGCGCCGTCAAGTGTCGTGTTGAGATTGCTCCATTCGTTGATAGTAGGCCAACAAGCATCACCAGGTGTCTGGGGTATGCATCAGCCGTACTCAGCGGGTGCGCAATCTCAACTCACACATTTGCACGGCTGGCCAACCGCGTCGCTGTGCGATGAATTGCAGAGAAGACAGAGAAGGGAGGTATATAATCGCATGTCTTTAAAGCTCCGAGCAGGCTGCGCTGCGTATGTCGAGCTTCAAGTTATTCGTCAAGTCCTCCTCAACACGTAAAAGTCGTATAGCAATTGCAGAAAACTCTGCCAACGGAAAGGTCAGCGGATTAGGCAGATCTAGTTGAAAGTACCACGTAAGATGGTGGCCTAAGACGAGTGAGAATTTTCCGATGCTATTAGGCTGATGAGTTCTCGAACGGCGAAAGAGGATAATTGAAAGAAGCTAGCGCCGCAAAGGTGTCGATAGCGAGACAACAAAAGAAGGTGATGAATGTTGAAGGAAAGAAGACGAGATGCGGAAGTCAGACAACGTTTGATGTTCAGTAATCCATTTCCATTCCGTAAACCTGGAATCGCTGACAAGCCAAGCCTGGGTGAGGGGCAAAACACGTGACCAGCCCCAATTATATCGATCCTTCGTCTTATCCTAAGGAGGCTGACGCTGCGAGTAAATCGCTGGTATGCTAGATGGACGATGAGAGTAGATAAAATCGTCTGGAGTGGTATAATGTGGGAATCCTTCCGTCCGCTTCCACCGCCGTACGTAGCTGGCCTGCCAGGCTGCCTCAGAGATGCTACTATTGTAGCCGCTTTGATCATGGCACAATCCATTGCGTTGGGGGATGTCGCTTGTGCTAGATATCATGTCCTCTTTTAGTTCCATATTGTTGTACTCCCATCATGCCAGCATGTGGTCGCAACGACGCCGCGATGACCTTCTAGAGAGACGTGTCAGCATCGAGCACTTGACGTCGCATGCAACATACATACCTCAAACACCACTTCAAGCAGGCCTTCGATGCCTCTTGCTCAGTCTCCTCCGCGCGCGACTCGGTTTGCGCGTTGGTATTTGTTCGTGGCTCGGTGCTAGAATAGGTCGTTCGGCGGCATGCATGTCGCTACCGGCTACACTTGCCCCATCCCTCAACGCACGACGCTCCTCATCCTGAACCTGAAGATCGAAAAACGATGTTCTCCAGTTCGTCTGTTCCTCCGGCATGCCCCCCGAGCTCCTCACGAGCACGCGCCGCGATCGCTGCATGTCGCTGACGTCCGGTTCTCTCCGGAACAAAGCATCGCTGAAGATGCGCTTAAAGAACTTGGGCATATTTATTCGCTGTACTTTGCAAGACAAAAGATATAGCCGCAGGAAGGATGTTATGCAGGGACTCGCGGGATGCGACAGGCCTTATCAAGCCCGTGTTGATGTTTGGGTGGCGAAGATGAGGGCGGCAATTGCGGGAGCCGATACCCCTGTTGCGAGAGGATGGGCAGCGCGATTGGCCAGTATAAGAGGGCCGTAATGTTGATCTTGAACGGGCGTGACCAACTCTCTCCTGGACGCGTCAACGAACGGAATTTCACTTCCCGTGCCTTCGCCCGCTTTACTGAAGATGACTGCCTTTCCATAATGCGCAGCCAGCGTCTCGCGCCTGGTCGTACATCCTCAGCTCACGATACACGCACCTAGAAGCGCCATTACCGACAATTCACTCAACGCGCGCATTTGGTTCGGGAGCTAGCTGCAACGATGTCACAATGATCGGCACAACAAGGTGTTTACTAGGACTTATGGTTCTAACATGGCGTCTAGATGCGGATGAACTTCAGTTCATGTGACAATGAAAAGCCCGAGCACCAGCCATCCCGATCACCGACTGGCTTCATGCTCCAAATACACTTTCCGTGCGTTGTTTCCTATCACTGACGCTTACTCATTACAGTGTCTTTTTCTCTCCTCTTCTATCCTCTCCATACACTCCTCCTCCGAGCAGTCGAACCAATCATCGATAGCGCCACTGTACCACTCAATGTCTCCAAGTCGCCAGGACTCGCACGAACAGCCGGCTTCGTAGCACTTGTGTCGAATATACTCTCCATAATTTTGGCGACCTGAAACCACGAAGCCTTGGGTCTTCAAACGATAAACCACTGGGCAGACTGCTTTCAGGTAGTCGGACCAATCGTCGGACATATCCCATTGAAAGGCAATGTGCAGCCTGAACCCCTCCTTCCGTGCAACACTTGATTCTTCCAACAAGGTAGAGAGTGACCGACATATCTGTCGGATGTGTACTGCTCGACTTGATGGCCTACTTTCTCCTGTGTGCAACGGTGGTGACGCGGGGCCGATGGCGATGTCCAGCTTCCTAAGGAAATCGCATGTCCGGACCGAAGGCGACCAGCTATCATACAAGACGCCATCGTCGTCTTGCAATAGTGGTTGTAGCAGCTTTATGTCGACCAAAAGATCTGCGCACTTGTACCAAATCTCCACAGCTTCGCGCGCGAACTCGGGGCCGACCTCACGTTCCAGCATCCAATATGGCGGCTCATATGCTTCGATCATAGGCGCAAACTCGTACAAGGGGTCGTATGGGTGCTTAGAGTTGTTTTCGACAATCTCGTACGGTTCGTCCTGGCTTCCGCGGTACAGCTCCGTGTAGATCATGTCCCGGAGCTCACGTGGTAGTTTCTCCAAGACCGCATTTGGTAGCTCTTGTATAACTTCTCGACACTGCTGGTCTCTCTTCGACAACAAGAGTCTATAATTGTCAGTATGGACGATTATGCCTCTCCAATCTTGTATACCTAGGAGCTTACATGCGTATGGCAAGACGTTTCGCGCCCAGCAACCGTAGATCATCATCTGCTAAGCGGGCTTGTTCGCGTTCCCTGTCTTCAGTGCTATATATGCTGGTAGCCAACGTCAGTCAGTTGTCCATTTCTTAGATGTCGGGTTGCTCACTCTTCATCGACGTTGCTAAGGGCTGCCTTCAGGCCCTCAACGGAATCGGGTATCTGGAAATCGGACAGAGGCATGACTGAGTCAGCGTCGTGGCGTTGGTTGTGACTTCAGAAGATGGGGAACAGAGATGGCAAGGCTGCAAGTACCTGCGTGTTTTGCGAGAGAAAGTCGGGGTCCAATCACGATCCCGCACTAACCGAAAAAGGCAAAGCGTGAGCTGGCCCGGCGCATCCGTGATGAGTGAATGCCTCTTCACCGAGAACAGCTTTATCTCGCGGCACGATCTTACTCATGTTACTATGTTATTAGTGATTTTCAGATGATGACCTTGACATTACCTCATGGGACGCGAGCCTATCACCCCCGTATCGGCCCCTACTGGTACATGTTACAGCAACGATCAAACCGGGTGCCCTTCGAGTTTGCGAAGGTGGAAGATGTATGAAGGAACGGCACCAACACAATATCCATGAAGAATTGCGTGAGACGGAAGTGAGAGAACGTTTCATTCGAAATGTACATTACTAGCCCTCCACCGCGCGCAATCCCGCTGCCATCTATCTATCTTTTGTCGTTTATTCCGCATATCGGCAACACTAAAGCTATCATGTCCATGTACCTGACCCCAGAACTTGCGCTTTTCCACCCCGGAGGAAGAAGCTGGAGCTGCGCCATCTATTGTTGACGCTAATTCGGTAGACGAGTAGGAGTTCTGACTTGCATTGGGCTTGGTCAATAGGACTACTCCCTCTGGGATGTCATCCTCCTCGGGACGAGGCTCGGTCTCATCTTGCGCCGGTGTTGCTACGTTGGTGTCGACATTGTTGTTCGCGGATGGTGCCGACGGTTGAGCGGCTTCTATTCTTTGAACCTCGGCGCCTTGCGCGCTCGCAATACTCCCAGTACCGTCGTCATCGCCACTAGAACTCGCGTCATAGAACGTATCTATCGTATGAATAGACGGCGGAGTAAGAACACCCGCCTCGACATGCCGCCAATTGTAAATGCGCGCCCGGTCTTTATCATTCCATGGCTTCATCATCGCCTCCAGATCATCGATATCCAAATATGGGTTAACATTTGCTTCGATAAGTTCGTCCGGAATGGTGAAAACGTTCACATCCATGGCGCGTTTCTCTGCCTCATGGTATGCTTTCTCCGCAACACGTAATGCGTTTATGAGCTCTTGTCCCTTTTTGATGAAGAAGCGGGGAAATTGAGCGGCAAGTTCAGCCTCGGGTTTGGTCGGGTACTGTGCGCAGTATCTAAGGAATGTAAGTTCGTAGCATTTTCGGTGTTTATCGTGTGCGTGGTCAGCTTCGCTAAAAGCCTTCTTTGCTGCGAGGAGTTTGAGTCTTATCTCATCCTCTGCTGTGAATCGAGTCATGGTGAGATCAGGGGGCTTGCTTTGGGGAACGTCCGCATTCCGGGTTGTGGTATCCTGCTTTGCTTTGTTACCGGTGTACAGCACCATAGCCATCTCGTTTCCAGCCACCGGCTGCAGTGCATCTTTCGCTGCCGTTGGACTAGATTTCCTTTCCGACTCCTTTGCGCCACTGGCTTCTTCACCTGGTTCAGACTCCGCGCTCGATGTTTCTCCATCTTCGCTGTCCCCATCTTCTCCTTTGAATCCTGCTTTGATGAAAGCAATATGGTGGTGAACACATACATTCCACGCCAATTTATACCATTCCTCGTTCGCGTCGTGAACCTTGCGCTCTAGCTCTGCCTTTTCCTCTTGGAGCAGCGATAGCTCCTCCTCATCCTTGAGTAGTTCCTCTCTTGCCTTTGATTGCATTGCGACAACTTTAGGGTCTTGCTGCTTCACTAAGCCAAGTTGGATGCGTTCGACACTTGCTAGACCCGACTTTGTGGAATCGACTATCTGTTGGAGGTGAAATATTTTGTGATCAATCGCTGGGATCTCCTCTTTAGACCGATCTTCGAGTGCTCCAAATTCGAGTTGTAGCTCCACAGATTTAAACATTCGTTGGCCCAATTCGTGCGAGAGAAGAAGCGCCATGACTGGCTTGCCGTCGACAGGAACCTCAATCAAGGTGGCCGAGCCTGCTTTGTAACTTTCACTGGACATTTCATCCCGCTCTGCGACCGGCCAAAGTCTGGATCCCTCTGGCAATGGTTCGACTGTCCTTGGGATGGCATTTTGGTCTTCTGTGCTCTCCGAATGTGGACTATGCGGTGGAGGGTTTTCTGTCTCAGGGTGATTCGACTGCGTGTTCGACACTTGCTCGCCGTTTGATGCGGACATTGGAATCTCAGGAGTGCAAAGTGTTTAATTTCCGAAAACACGTTACTGCCTAGAATGCGCGAGTTGGGCCAGGGTAGCATCGGGCTGAAGTTCAGCGAATTACTTTGTGTATCGGGAATTCGGAGACAAAGGCCGTCCCACGAATAGCCTAGTGGCTTTGTTGATATCTTTCAACGACATGCATGGTTCTTTGTTTCCAAGTAAGGGGTTGGAACTCATTGTTGACGCCGGAAGACAGCTTCATGAGCTTAGATTGATGCACATGAGTGGTGAGTAAGCCGCTAGACTCGGTTTGTTTGCGTCGTTGGTAAGCGCCAAAATTTACTCTCTTCAGGATGCCCGGGAGGGCTCATGATAAGACGAGCTGTCCGCAGTGCAGACGCTCGTGGCTCATACTTCGTAATTAGTTCGCATGTTCGCGGCAGCTGTCATTTTAGTGCATGTACTGTTTCATCGCTATATTCCAGTGTTGTCACAGCCACTAGATGTCAGCTTGATGCGAAAACTTGTCCCTGTCGTATCAAAATCCAGGGAAGTACGGCTGGGAAGACTGAACAAGTACGTAAGGGTTTGGCCACAGCGTGATCTTATATAGCTTCCGTTCGAGACGAGATGTGCCCGCGTGTGAATCCAGACTGAACGCGATGTTGGTGTAAGGAGGTCGAAAGCTCGAAAGCTCGAAACGCGATCCCGTTCTGCAAGCTCTGCCTGAGCTTTCACTGAGCTGTTGATTTCGCACGTGTTGGGGAAATTCGCATTTGCGGTCGAACGCGCTTTGGCCATTGTTTTTGTACGCAATGAATGCATACGCCTAGTCCAATTCAGCGCCCTAGTCTCCAAAGATTAGCAACAGCGGTCGCAAACCACTCCGCCCGCATCGCTCTTCCAACTCAGCTCAACTACGCGTTGAGCGATTTGCTAGTCTTTTGCGCCCAAAGTGTCGACGACCCAGTTGGCGGGTTGCTGACGCTTCCTCCAATAAGCCAACGATATCATCCACTTGCATCGACAAAACCAGAGCGCGTCGTCTCGACATGCCTAGAGAAAAGAAGACGAAGAGAGGTCAGCCGCATAGGCGACCGGCCTACCAAGCCCATCAAACCCATCGGCTATTTCGAGAAGATGTGCTTCGTGAGTAATCGAATCTCTTGTGAATGTGACAGCGCTAACAGTCGAGTAGGTCTCCCGCAAGCAAACCACGGTCACACACCGGCGAGGCTTGGCCGTTATACGGTGTCGACTCCAGGGCGCACTGTACATCCACCGGCTACAAGTACTGCTGCTAGGCACCCCGCCGGTCGTACCACACGCGATAAGATCGTCAACCAAGCTGAACCATCCAAAGTAGACGGAAAGTCCCTCGCGAAAGCAGTCCGCCAAGAGATGCAATTAGTCCCGGGCTGGACCAAGATCAAGGAGAAGGCCGTGGAAGAGGAGTTCAACAAGATCAAGTCCGGTACGATAATCAGGGAGATCTACTCAGAGAAGACCACCAACCCTCATGCTAGACCCGATGATTCCAGATATTTCCCCACCCCCGACGGTTTTTACCTGTTCAAGTCCGCGCCCTGGATCGTCTTCTCAGTGAACAAAGAGACATGGACCTTTGACTGCAGGAGGATGACTCGACAAGACAAGCCGAGCGATGCGAACTTGACCGCAGCTCAGCACGAGCAGTACTTGCGAGTATTGTATCCGGAGGGGATTAGCAATTCGAACGCTCATGGCCACCCTGTCGTCAAGGTCGGATGGTGCAGAGATCCGAAGGCAGGCAACGAAATATCAGTCATCAACCTGGACGAGTCAAGAACCATCCATGCTACTAAAGACATGGACATCTACGGCGCTCTGGAACCGGCGTCCGCGATCATTTTTATAAGGGCGTGCTCGGAGCTCATCTCCAAAAGGGCGCTAGCTGCCGAAGCAGAGCATATTGATATGGACTCGATCAACCCTGTCGCTGCGGAGCCTGCCATTGCTGATCACCATCCGCTAGGCACACGTGATGTGGCTTCCGTGGATCCAGCATGTGGTAAAGCGGTCGCGGGCATGCCCGAGTACATGAAAGATGCACTCATCGCTTCAAAAGCCCAGGAGAACTTCATCAACCGTACCACAGTTGAAAGCTGCATGAGCTTGGTTGGCGACCAGATATCCTCATCACTACCTGCCGGATCCGTCCTCGGCGCTACGGAGGCTCCAATACATGAGAAGCAGATGATCCGCGCGTCTCACCGACCGAGCGCTTTGGAAGATGTTGGCATGAGCTGCGACATAGAAAAGACCTCATCGCTGGCTCTTGAGCTGTATGCTCCCTCGTCGATCGTTTCCGGGCTATCCAACCCAGTTGAAGAGTTGACTTGGGATGACGAACCCTTGACCGAAGAGGAAATCGCAGCGATATGCTCACTGAAGCCTAAGACCATCGGACAAACGATTATCGCAAACCTAAAGGCGTTGGCGTTTGATGCACGACTTCGTTGTTACAGTGATGTCGTCGATGCGGACTTGGCCCGTAGCTCGGCCGAGAAATATCGCGAGAAACTTAAAGCCATGGAGCCAGATGCGAGGACACCCATGCACGTCCGCGAGTACAAGGAGCTTTGGAAAAGGTTTCTCTTGTTAGACTCTGGAATCCGTGGCCTGCAAGATGTGCAGGATGTGAACATGTTGCACCAGTTCGTTGTCTCTCGGATTCTCAAAAACCCACCGGAGGGCTGCAACTGGAACCAGGTGGCGCCTGCAGCTGGCATGATCTAGTGGACAGTTTGGCACGAGATTATGGTCGGTAACATCGCGCGAGCGGGCTGAGAAGCCTAGCTATGGGAGTCAGTATGACGTCCCTGAATTTCATGTCAGCGATTTCATCTAGCATGCACTAGCATTGCAACATGGGTAGAGCACGGGTCTGTAGAGCTTACAAGCTTTCAAGCTTCCAAGGTGCTGAGCGTACAAGCTTACATATGAATGAAAAGTCATCAAAGAAGATTCCAGTGCGTGAGCTTTCGTCTCCTAATGTCATGCGTGGGTGAACGACAGCCTGGGGGTAGTCGTCGTGAGTACTGCGCAATTTCCATAGGCGCCGCCAGAGCTACGATGCAGCTTGAGATATATAAGCACCTGTGATGGATGGGATGATGAAAGCGATGAAGGTTGATGATTTGAGGATGGCGGACCAGGCAAGAAGCCCCTGCCCACATGCAGGTGCGCTAACACGAACGGAAGCCACGATGACGTTGACAAAGCTAACCCGCGCATCCGTCGCGTCGTCGCTGCCAGATGCGCGACGCGTCTTTGTCCTCCCAACATATATTCTTTATTCGATCACATCGGCCGATGAAAGCCATCTGCTCATCGCGGTTAATTCGCAGCGGAGGTCGGTGACGGGCGCGAACCAACTCCAAGTCTCAGCCCAAGCCAAAAGCGTACTATGTCCGTTGTTGCGACCAGAGGGTAACTGGTACGCCGTATACTCGGATACCGACATCAGTACGAGCTGGAATAGATGCGGTCGGGGTAGCAGCCAGCACATCCCGCCCAGACTATCGCCCTTACTCTATAACGCATCACCAAAATCACATCCCCAGAAAAAGACTTGCTCACAAGCTTCTGATTCTCCGACTATCGCGACTAGTCTAGCAAAAGCCCAAAGATTCCATCAGATGTTGCCCAAGGCGGGTTCCAAGTATCTCCAATTCCTCCAAAGTCTGCCCGACGCAAGACGCCGGCACCTCTCCCATCCCCGGAATAGACTCTGTATCTTGACCATTGTCTTCTCGCTCTTCATCTTCCTCCTAAGAGCGATTCCGCATCTGACAAAACACGCAGTCCCGACAATGTCGTTGCCGAATCCGCGCTGTAGTATCGAGAGGCTCTGGCTCTTGACCCGGCGATTGGTAACCACCGGTCTCGGTCGCCCATTGTGCAGTCGCTTGCCAGATGGCGATATCGCTAATCATCCTGTCGCGCTCTTCGGTCTCATCGGTGGTGTCGCTGCCACTGTCGGTGCTCATATCGGTGACGGCCGGCGGGATGGTCAGGGCTTCGGGAGTGCTGTGTCCTAGTGAGACGGCTGCTGGGGGTGGTGAGCTACCTGGCTGCGGTTGACCGGCTGGGAGGAGCTTCTGCGGGACAGCTATTGGCATGCGGGGTGTGAAGTTCGGTGTGGATGGTACGGTAGCTGGGCTGTCTGTTTCTTCTAGCTTGCCCGTGTGCTTGATCGGAGCAGCTCGATTGCCAGCGATGTCAGCCCACGTAGTACCCTGTGGCGCCGCCGCGGGATCTCTCGCGACGTATGGTTCCAGCGGTGGCGTGAAGACGGGCGCGTCTTCTTGCGCTGGCTCGTCGAAGTATCCTGGTTCGTCTTGCTCCGCCATTCCCAGCGGCCGACTCGCTTGCCCTTGATCCCTCAGGTATCTCACCGACTGCCGCTGATTGTACATTTCCACTTTGAGAATGACGTTTGCTATGCGCGTCTGGTCTGTCTCCTCTTGAGCACGCGCTGCTTCGGCTTTGGTGCGGAAGCCGACGACGATGGTGGTAACATTGCTATTCGGATAGACGTTCTTAAGGCTTGTCGGATTGTAGCTCTCGTACATTCGTTTTAACTCGTCTGTCTCGATGTAGCCGGGGACGTTTTTAACGAAGATAAGGTGCTCGTTCGCCGCTTTGGCGCCATTGTTCAGAGGCATCGCGACGGTTGCGCAGTGTGGGCGGGATTGTGGAGCTTTGGATTGTATTTGCGAAAGTCTTGGTGTTGTAAAATCTAAGTCTGTCTACAAATATAAGCGATGACGAAAAGCCGAAGTGAATGTGCTGCTAAGGATTGAGATTGTGCGTGTGTGTAGAGAGGTGCAGTGGTACCCTGAGAGTTCTTGTAACGTTCGCGTGTCAGATTAGCGAGTAGATAAGGGTCTTCAACCGCTGCAGTGTTGCTTCCACAGGTAGTTCTATTGCTGTCGCGGCAGGTGTGATGGTGGAGACGAGAAAGTGATTATTGACGAATGACGCAGAGCACATCAGGCCCATAAGACCCCGTGAGAATGTGTTCGTCCTCATGGTACGCAGGCAAGCGGAAAGACCAAAGAGCAAGTGACTGGGAATCTCAAAGACGGTAACGAGACGTTTGAAGCCAGAAAGTGATTAATCGCGTCGTAATAGGCTCAACATGGCTCGACCAGGGTCCACAGCACCAGGAATCATAGTGAGCGACCTACAACCCACAATTAGAAAAGAGGATTGAGTTACAGACATAGCACTAGGTAAATCACGATGTAGCATGTAGTTTAGGATGTGAAGTGCGCAGACGCAGCGAGGTGAAGCGCGTTAGTTTCCAGACCAGCACTACGTCATGACGGCTAGTCTACCCGCGTGCACATCCCTGCATTATCGGGTCATCGCGTTCCTGCCCCGATGGTTCTCATCTGTTTGCGCTAGTCGTGACGCGAGTAGCTCTGGTTGCACGATCGGGGTTGGATTATCGATGTGCATGCAGGGCTCTAAATTCGATGTCAAGCAACTTTCCACGTGTTCGCATCTGTCGTGCTTAGAATTAGCAGAGAAACCAGAAAGAATAGAGTGTACCTTGCACTCAGACTGATTTTAGTTCCTAGATCGGGCTGTCGGTATACGGTAATTACGATAGCTGTAATGTTAGAACTTAGCAGGATCTTGCACTTAACCAACCATATCACATTCGATCTCCCTCAACGTTGGAACTCTCACGTTGCCAATAAAACCATCCGACATACTCCGACATGAAAATCAGCCGGGGCTGGCATAGACGCAACAATAATAGCAATAAGAGCAAACCTGAATAAGAGATTCGACAAGGTACACGCAGTTCACACATCAAGCTCGCGTAAGACGTCACAACATGTAGGGGTATTTGTTCTATTATTCATTTACTAAGCGCCATCAAGGATCCGACTTTCCAATCTAGACCTTGATCACAACCTTATGCGGCGCATCCTTCTCCTCCGGCTCACCAAAGATGTTAACCGGCCACCTCGGCTTGTTAGCCGTGTAAGGAATGTTGAAGCGACGCGGCTCCTTCTTGCCAATCTCCTCGACCTTTGCAAAGTCGTCTTCCGACAGATCAACCTCCTTGAAGTTCTCTTGGATGCGGGATGCGGTGACGGACTTGGGGATGACGGAGTGGCCGCCGACCTGGGCCCACGCGAGGATGACTTGTGCGGGGGAGGCGTTGATGCGGGTGGCGATCTCCTTGATGGTGGGGTGCTGGACGAGGAGGGGCTCGCCGACCATGTTGTTGCCGAAGGCCTGGGAGTGGGGTTAGTAAGTGTTAGGGAGGGAGAGGGGAAGAGGTGGCTTACGGAGTACTCGGTGATGTGGATGTTCTTCTCCTTGCAGTACTGGATGAGCTCTGGCTGGAGGAGACGGGGGTGGCGCTCGATCTGGTTGGCAGCGGGAGTGACACCGGTGCCGTCGATGATGGCCTGGAGGTGCTCCTTGGTGTGGTTGGAGACACCGACAGCGCGCGCCTTCTCCTTGGGCAGCTGTGTCATGGCCTTCCATGTGTCTACGATGGAGACGTCGTCGAGCATCTTGACGTCCTCGCCCTCGAGAGGGAAGAGGTTGTTGTGGACATCGCCGCGTTCGTCGAAAGCGACAGGGAAGTGGACGAGGTAAAGGTCTAGGTAGTCGAGGCCAAGCTCAGCCAGGCAGTCGTCGAGAGCGCCGGGCACGTCCTTGGGGCGGTGCTGCGAGTTCCACAGCTTGGATGTGATGAAGACGTCCTCACGCTTGAGGTTGGGGACCTCGCCGCCGAAAGCCTTCTTGAGGGCCTGGGCGATCTCCTTCTGGTTGCCGTAGACCTTGGCGAGATCAAGGTGGCGGTAGCCAGCCTTGAGGGCCTCGAGGACGGCAGCGCCGACCTGACCAGGCTCAGCTTGCCATGTGCCGAAACCAAGTTGGCTGGGAAGGTCAGCAATTGCTACGTATGTCTGCGGGGTGTTTGTTTGGGTACTCACGGAATGGCAGCGCCAGTGTTGAGAGTAACCTTCCTTCCGAGAGACATGATTGCAATTGGTGAAGTTGGGGTATCAAGAAGAAAAAGTAAAGAGTTTGTGAGTGCTCAAATGTGGATGTTCTGGACCTTTAAGCGTTGTCTGGGGAAAAAGTTGTCGGAGGTGGGATGGAGGGGTCGGAGACGTCACCGAGCCCCAGACGGCACCATCTCCATGTTTGGCAGCCGCCTCCGCGCATCAACAATGTCCGACGGTCCACCTTACAGACTTCTGCGTCATGCATTGGTTCGCCTTCGCCAAAGTCGCGGTAGTCGTGTCTCAACAAGCATCATCCATCGGCGCTACGGTGTTGGAGAGGCTTAGGAGTATCTGCCGTTGATCTACCGCAGACACGTCGCGTCGCCATTGGTGGATGAAATGTGGCAAACGCGAAGTTTTTGTAGGCGGCCTTCAGGGACCGGGTCGCAAACGTCTAATGTCTTGTATAAGCGCGGGCATCATGCGGAAGAGCTATGGCGGCTGCATGGCAAGATGGGGTTGGCTTGGTGACATCGATGGCGGCATACGGATGGGACTGACCTCGGCGCATCAGACGGTTATATAAGCGACCCACTCTACAGCCACGTCGCCTTTCCACGGCGTTCCAGACATGTGAATTCGCGCGTCTTTGACATTGGCATCGTTACCTCTACTGTGAAGAGCAGGAGTACATTGATAGAATGCCTAAACGTGGGCATACCATCGATATAACACTATCTTACAAAAGAGAAAAACTAAACACCCTATAGCCTACATTAAGATGAAAACATGCAAAGTAGGGGACCTAACGTTAACGTCGGCTCTACGGTTTTCAGTTTCTCCCTTGTATCAAGTGGTCACCACCCCATTCATCTCATAATCCTTTCCCAAAACGTCATCCCCTCCCGTACATCCACTGCCTTAACCCTCATCTCCACCACTTTCTCCTCCCTCCCAGGCATCGTCAAAAACCCCATCCTTTGATTCCCTTCCACGATTAAGCTACACACCGAGATCGTCACAGTCTCCAATTCCGGCGCTCCGAGCCCGGCGATCAAGCTCGTAAGACTACCCTTCGGGCCTAGCTGTAAGCAGAGCTCGAGCATATCGTGTGCGTCTGTGTAGTCGATGTCGATGTGTTTAACAATCTCCCGGATAGGTTTTGGTAGGATGGCAAAAGCGGAGAGGACGGTGAGTTTGTAAGTTATTTCGCTTTTGATGTTGATGTGTAGGGTATCTCTGTCTGGGACGAAGAGGAGGGGTTTGGTCGTCACAGATCCGCTTCCATCTAAGTTGGAAACGGGGAGGTGGAGGTGATGCGGCTTAGCGAGGAATTTGCACTCGGCGGAGAAGAATTTGCTGGTTAGGTGCAAGGTGATGTCTCGGTTGACAGAGGGCAGGACTTTGTAATTTACTGAGTAGGGAATGCTTGCTGCTAGTACAGAGGCTGCGGAATTGGGCCGGCGAAATTTTATGTCGGCGTGGAGATGGCGTGGAGATGCATGGATGGCATTGTTCCAAGCGTATTTGATGATGCGGGTTTGGAGTTCTGCGGGAAGGGAGTCGAAGGAATTGAAGACTGATGCGGGTTCGTCTACAGGGGGTGTTGGCTGTGAATTTGGCTTGCCTTGCATAATGTTTGATTTTGGCATGTTTGAAGCGGTCTTGATAATCTTGATGGTATCGAGAGCGGTGATGATGGAAGAGGGAAAGGCGGATACTCGGTAGTATGCTGTAAGACTTCAAGAAACATAACGAAAGGCGAGGGCAGGACTTGGTGTTCTCTAATATATACAACATTAACTGATGAATTAACGTACCTTGGTTAAGATGTGGCAGTCACGCTGGGTTTAGACTAGACGGTACGCCCCAACCAAGGTATAGCCAAAAGACGATATACGCCACAGCCACCTCATACAGGACAAGTTTGAACAGGACTGCAGCCTACACTAACGTAGAAACATACGAAAGTAACTACCCAACGTAAAGGTAGGCTCCAGAGTGTTCAAGTTTTTCCTTATTTGATGCATCAAAAACATGAACAGACCGATAACCAGTGCTCACGACATATTTCTTAATGTTTTGTGATTACAGTACATGGATACCATACTTCATCGAAAGCCTTGCCCCAGCGATCCAAAACATGGAAGCCAAGGACCACATAAAGCGCCGATCCACCCATCCTGGTCCCATCTAAACAGGGACTTGAAAAGGAAAACCCGCACAACCCACGCCCGCTACGAAGAAGGTATGGAAAATCGCTCCCAGAAAACATGATAAAAGCTAGAGCACATGGTTGCGGATGTCGCCAGAGACGAACTCGCCTGGAACAGACCGCGTCATGTTTGCTATGGCAGCCATTAGCACGGAACCGAAGAAGAAAGAAGGGGTATCAGAGTCGGTGAGGATGTGGAGGTGCGGTCAGGCAGTGTTTATGACTCGCCTCCTGTTGATGCTGCGGGAGCACCTTCACCACCTCTGAATGATCCCCTTCCTCCGCGGCCTCCGCGTGCGCCTCGCTCGCCACCTCGTCCACCACGAGAAGCACCGCCACGGCCTCCGCGACCGCCGCGACCACCCTCGCTGTCTGAGGCACCTCCACTTCGGTAGCCGCCGCCTGAGACGCCACCACGGGTGCTGGCTTGCCAGCTGCCGGCTCCGTACCTAGGCTGGTTGGGACCAGG